TTTTTTCATAGATTTCAATCATATCATATGGTGATACAATACATAATGCATTCAATACACCTTTATGAAAAAATCTTGAACAATAACCATATTGTCTTACACCATGCATATTTGTTAATATAAAACGAAAATATTCTTGTGTAGGTTTTTTTGTTAATAACACTGGATTATTATTTGAATCATGTTGATCTGGAAAACAAAAATATTTTAATGTTATTTCATCATTTGCATCTGTTGGATATTTAAAACGTATTGATGTTGATGTTGGTATTGATGATTGTTGAGAATTAAAATTTGATGATAAAAAACTACCATTACCATTTGAAAAATAACCAAATTCTTGTTCAGGTAAAAGATGAACAACATAATCATATAATGTTGGTAATTCATTTGTTGATAGATCAAGATTTGGATCGGTTAATAAACTTGACATATGACTTGTATTACATAATGAATCGTAAACATTTTTAACTCGACTAACATGATCAAGTTTTGATGTACGAATATGATCATTATTTTCTGATGATGTACTAGCTGAATCATCACTATCATTTGTTCGTATATTATCATTTGAATTTATTTGTTTATCAATTAATGATTGTTTTGATGTTGTTGATGGTAATATACGTTTAAAACGATCAAATAGAACACGAGGAGAAAATGGTGATTTACTTCGAGATGTTTTTGTAAGATTTGGTTCACTAACACCTTTCTTCATAATAGATTTTGTTGATAATTGACTGAGTTTACTTTTAGTTGTTGGTGTACGAAGAACTATATCATTTGTATTAACTTGATTTGTTTGAGGAGTATTTGATTTGATTGGTGTTTCTTCAAAGATAGTTTCGGTTTTACTGGATTTTTTAGTTGTTTTTTCTGATGAAACACTTGGTCGACGAGACATATGTTGATTTTCTCGTTTTACCGGCATAACATTAGGAGGTAATAGAACAGTTGATACGCCAGCTGTTAAATCCATACAACTTACTGAACGAGCACCTAAAAGACAATAGATTTGTTAATCACATAGTTTTTATGTGTCATGGACTTTTAGATTTATTTAATCGAAAGTATGTAAGATATGTTTCATCAGTATTTAACATTCAAATAGAATAAAACTAAAGGTCGAACAGGAATGTTTTATATTTAACACATGATCATAAAAATCTGATAGGTGCACTTGAGTACTAAAAAATTTAGACCCGAATATTTTTGAAATAATTTTATAAAAAAATGTATGATTAATAACTCTATGGATACAAATGTGTCATTACTATGTGAATCATAAGATATGTCGTTATCAATTAAAATCTTCGAATATTATTCATAGTTTAACCTTGTCGTAAAGAAAAATTTAACTTACCGAGATCGAATGAAGGTGAGTTACTATTTGATGATGGTACTTTTTGATCATTTGTTTTTCTTTTATGTTTATTTTCATTTTCATATGTTCTTGGTGGTTTTCTCGGTGGTAATTGATCGATTACGACCGTTTTTACTACGGCTATTGGACTTTCTTCTTGTTTTTGTTCAAGAATTGGATTAAATATCGATGAATGTTGCTCATTATGACTACCGTTAACTTGAAAACCAATTGAAGTAGTAGATAGAAGTGGACATTTTTTATTTTTTAAATCAGCTGATTCTCGACGTTCAGCATAAAAATTATTCCATCGACGAATTTTTTTATCAATTGTTCCATCTGTAGTACTATCTGGAAATGATGTTGTTTGAACACTATACGATGAATTATGTGTATTTTTATTTCCTATAATAGGTTCATGAATAATTGATGATCGAGATGATGATAGTGATGATGAATCAGCAGTAAAAGTTGCATTACGAACAGTTGCATGACGAATAGTTGCTAGAGAACGATTTTCAAATGTTGGTTGATTTAATTTAATTTGTGTTCGACTTATTAATGGTGATGGTTCATTTGAATTTTCAAAAACATCTTCATGATGAGTCGAAGTAGGATTTGATGTATACTGCAACTAATTTTATATCTGATAAATGAATAATAATGATTAACAAAATAAACTTACCCATGGTTTTGATAATTGTTGCTGATGTTCATCACTTGATGGTGATGATGATGAAGAAGATGAATATGTTGAATGTACTAGAAAATCATTACTATTATTTGTTGCTACAGAATTACGTTTCGATTTAATTGAAGGCGAAGAATTTGAATCATAACCAGTTGATGATAATGATGCTGACGAACGAAGACGTCTTGATGCTTCTGCTGTATCATATGCTTCATCAGATATCGTTGGAGTATTAATTTTCAATGGATTATATGCTGTTGGTGTTGTTACAAGAATAGGTTTAGCATGTATAGCTACGATACGTTGTAAACTCGATACATAATTTCGACTACTACCCGTTCGATTCAAATGATTTGATGGTAATGAATCGTAACTATCATTATAATTAATAGCTTTTGATATAGATGATTCCTGAGGTTTAGTTAACTCGGATTGTGTTAATATTGTTTCATTCATTTCACATAAAGATATTTGTTGAGGTAATGATGAAGTATACGAATGTATTTCTAAAATAAAACAAAATTGTTATTTACGGCTTACTTCACATAAATATGCTAGTCAATAAAAAGTCATGAAAGAAAGAAAAAAAGACTATAGGACAAGTGAAAATATGGAGGTGGAGAGTGACTAATGAAATACTGATGTTACTCTCGCCTTTGCCATTCTCTTCTTTACTCTTATTTTTTTAGTTATCTCGAAATATTCCCATATTTATTCTTCTCACGTTTTCTTTTTCTCTCTCTCTCGTTTCATTGAAGATACATCATGTTTATTGTTTGAATTTCGTGCAACACAAGAACAAGAAAAAAAGAATGACGACCTTCATATGATAGTTTCTGCCGTTATACTTTTTATTATTTCTTCTTCATTGTTCCCTGATGATTTATGAAAAAAGAGATAAAACAGACAACATTGGCATTCAATTCAAATGAATATTTCTTACTCATGTTTTATATCACAAAAAAATGACATAGTTTACCTTTATTTAAATTATTCTCTTGAGGACAAGATCGAGATTGTATTAATAATTGATTATCTTGTTTAGTAGGATACATTGCTTTATGTTCTATAAATTCATTTGTAAGTTTTAAACGAAATGCTTGATATTCAGCAAGATAATCTCGATAACGTTCTTCAAGTGATTTATCATCATTTTTTGTTGTTACTGTTGCTGCTGCATGTTTTAATTTTTCATCATCTGTAACAGGTAATCGTAATAAAACATGTGATGGTACACGTTTTTGTTGTTGTTGCTGTTGTTGTTCATAAATAGTTGATAATTTTTTTGTTGAACATGATTGTTTATCAAACATTTGTCTTATCTGTTGAAAATGTCCTTTAGGTAAACTACGTACACTACTACGTATACGTGTTTCTGAACGCATCATATTCGTATTAAATTCACGTTCTGTCTTCATTGATTAAATATTGTATACTACAAGAAATGAAATAAAAAAATAAGAGATAGATATGTAAATGAGATGAGATATTTATGCGAAACAATCCATCTAAGCCGATTAAATTTTTGTTAAGATAAACCAATGATCATTATCATTTTTAGTAAAAAATATGTTCACACAACCATATCATTAAGTGAAGAGTCATTAATGTCGTTCATTTCTTTTGCCTTAAAGCTGCTTTATATATATATATACATATAAGCATCTCTTTACTTCAATCATTTGAAATTGAGACGAGAAAAAGACTAAAACAGCTTAGAACCTCAATTAGTTGTATTGTATGGATATATGTGTATATATATATATTAAACAAATCACCCCTAGAGGATCTATTTCGATTAACACCCTTCGTCGAACATCTTAGATGTGTTTGTGTGAACAAAAAAATTAACAAATATTATTCTACTTCTTATAAAAAATGACATAGGTAATAACTTGAAAGTCCACCGACAAGGATGTTTTCTTTTCTTTTACTTCTTATTACATCGTATGAAAAAAAAACGAATGAATATAAATATTTTTTATTAGGTAATTATTTGTATATGATGCTTTCCTTTTCTTATATATGCTCTCATAGATCAATAATCGACTGCAAAAAAAATAGCACATCCATTTAAAAAAGAAAATATTGACTTGGAATGAAGGTTATTGCATTCAATGCTAAGTTCGATTAATTCGATTTTGAAATAAAGAATGAAAAAAAAAATTTAAATTCACCTTACTTCTTAATATTATTCGTCTTCCTCTTCCTATACAATAAAACTTAACTAATACAGACATTATTCATTGTTGTCTAGTCGATATTTATTCAGACATAATAATGAATGAATATATATATACATATGTATGTTTAACGATGCGTATCTAACTGATGAACTCATTATATTCTAATCATACAGTACTATCTCTGACCTGAAAGAAGAGAAATAAGAAATAACTTACTTCTTTTATTCTGATGATAATAATAATCGAAAATAGTTGATATCAGAAGAATATTGATATAGACTAGTCCTCTTTAAATTGTATTTCAATGACAAAATAATTAAACAATGCAGACGACGACGACGACGATGTTGTCGTTGTCATTTAATCTCTCAAGTGAACATCTAATCTGTATAGACACAAAATACAGACGAAAGAAGAAACAGGACATTGTACATTGTATTAGATAGGTATATATGTATCTTTATTTTTCCTGTAGTACGAGCTGAATCGAATAAGGAAAAGGTCAATTTATTTCGCACAAGACAACGAAGTTGGATTGTTTGAAGAACAAATTAAACACGAAGGGAGACAGAGAGACGCGAAGCAAGAAGAAAAAAATGCATTTAGATGACAATCGAAATAAAAGTGCGACCTTGACAAGAGAGAAGAAAAATTCATTGTTTTATCAAAGAAATCCTTAGAAAGTCAATACAGTTATCAGAATATCTATTCAACAAAAAAAACACGAAATTATCATAAATAGTCTAATCATTTATTCCTTATCTGACTATAAAAATTTGCCTCTCAAATTTTGTCACCTTACTCCTATTTTATTTTCATTGTTATTCTCAGTTAAACAAAATCAATCGACACAAAAGACATTTTTTACATTTTTTTAGAAAAAGAAAGAACATTATAAGTACATAAATACTAGAGACAAAAAAGTTGTTTTTTTCAAAAAAAAATGGATCCTATAAACTGAACTCTAGCGCACCTGAAAAATAATATTTATTAATCTTAATTTTCTTTGACATGCAATTCTTTACAATTTCTTTCATTAAGAAAAAGAAAAGACGAATGAAAGAATGTAAAACTTATTTATTTGCTTATTGTTTTTTCTTTCTTTTTTTCTTTTCATCTGTTTTGTTTCGTTTTTTTTTCTTCTCTTTTTATCATCTTACCTTATATATATATATGATTTTGTAAAGTAGACAAACGTAAAAACTAATTTTGTTTTTTATGATTAGTTTTTGAGTGTCACATATTCATGATTATATAAAACTTTGATCATGTCTACTATTAAAGCATTATTTTCAAACAATATATAACATCACATATTTCGTTGTCAATTGAATGATGTAACAATCTAAAATAAAGAAGACAAAATATGTACATATTCGAGGATTAAGTTTGTCTGTCTAGTTCAAACGGAAAAGGAGATAGAAGGAACAATTATTGTTCAAAATAATAAGTTCGTTCTCTTACGAAATAAATATATATGGCATCAATGTCAAAAAAAAACGAAATAAGATGTAATAGTGTGTATACTTTGCTTTTTTTTGCCTCGCTCTCATCGTTCTGTTTTGAGTTATATAGACATTTATATTTCGTTCTTGTATGGTTGAAACAATTGAAAATGAAAGCGAAAGAAATATACACAGATTCCAACTTCTATTAAGATGCATACATATACATATTGAAGGTCAAAAGTTCGCTCATTGAATACAAGCAAAAATAGACATATTATATATATATA